TACCACTTTCAATTCACGTAAATTCATTATTTCGTTTGAAATAGAAAACATTGAATCCCAACAATAACCTGAATAACTAATATTATGAAAGATAAGATTGTGTTTTTGTTGATAGAGAATATAACAAAAGATATCCATTATAATAATGGACTTGGTCTCAATACATGAAAATTATCAAGAAATGTAGAGAGTCATCTCTCACTATCGTACCATAATTGTTGAAAAGAATACTTTCAAGCACCAACGACAGTTCTGCATTATAAATAGATTGCTCCGTTATGAATTTGAAATTAATTGTCTCTGACTGATAGATGGCGCCAGATATTCATAGCGCTAATATTCCAATTCAGTTTTCTTAACCCAATTATTGCAAGGTGTAAACTGAAATGAAAACCGATCGTTTATACGTTAGATAGGTTATGCTTGAACTGAAAAAAAAGTGTTGCCTGTTCATTGACGGTATTTTGACTTCGTTTACCAGATGCAATTAGTTCGGTGTGGCAAATTATCATTCGATAAAAATAAAACAATCGAAATTTGTTCTGCGTCTGGTAATTATCATTCTTAATCAATATTTGCTTTGAAAATTCAAAAAATTCACAAAACTCATTACAGACAATGACTCGTCATAAAAATTTTTGAATTTTTTTGTACACAATTTCTGAGATTAAATTTCCATAATTCAATACTTGAAACAAAGAGCACTAGCTGAACAAGAACATCACCATCAGCGTATCGGCCGCTGTGTCGTTCAGGACTTTTCGTAATTCCCCTGAAAGATTACATTTTGATTCCGAGGAAAGAACAAATCGTGTATCTCGTAATTCTACAGAAAAATCCCAACATTGTGTTGTCATGGAACAGCTTTACAATATCCCAACGACCATGGATAAAATTGAAGAAATTAAGGAACAAAATAAAATTTCTTTAGAAATATTGGGAGAATCATGTTCTGCCAAAAATAAGTCAAGAGCGATATCAAAAAGAATATGAAAATTTAGAAGAGGGGCGTAAAAGCAAGAATGTAAAGGTGGTCAATGAAAATGTATTATTAGCATATACGAAAGGAAAATCAGAGGTTTATTCCCCTAACTCGCTGTTAACCAAGATTTCAAAGTTGAATCTTGCTTTGAAAGTTTATGACAACATTGACATTTCAAGGTCACTTTTTTTAATCCTACAACATATTAGAGTATTACAGAAATGGTATTTTCAACTTTAGAAAACTATTTTTGTTTTTGAGACGAAAGTCTGATGAATACACACCAAATGAAGTGAACATGTTCTCTGAAAGAAGTAACTAAGTTTTTGTTGGAGGCAGATGAGCATATATGGTTGTTTGAAAAGGTTGTTTTGATGTGTGGTATTTTTGGCGCCTCTAGACGTGACGAACTTGTTAAGCTGACCATGGATGATTTTGAAAACACCAGTACCAGAGTTTTGCTATATTGAGGTATGCTAAAAACAAAAATAACAGGGTATTCATCATTCCCAAAGGAGGACTTCCTTCTGATGTATATGGTTTACACCAAAAATATGTAAAATTGCGGCCTTCAAATTTGGAAAATCAGCGAATACTCATTGTTTATAAGAATGGTGAATGTATAAAATAAGTTGTTGGCATTCATACTATTGGAGTTGTTCCAAAGATTCTCTGCGGTGGCGAAGTCGTATATTGAAAATTCAGTTTCAAAGAGAATGAAGATAACCAGACAACTATTGAGGCCACACAAACACGTTCAAATACTGGTGCTATAGATGGTAAATCTCTCATCGATGAAATAGAAATTTCAAATAATAGTAAATGCCAAATTACTTTTCAAATTCATAAATAGTTAAGATTTTTTAACGGCTGCTAGCCGTTGTCATCTGAATACCTTTAAATCAAAATAACAATATGGGATCACGAAAGAACAAATAGTTAATAACTATTTCATGAAGTTATCGATTGATTTTTACTATTCTAGCCAAGAAAAAATGACAAGACAGTATTTTATCCTTCTAATAATTTTTATTTTTTCACCTAGATATCACGATGACCATTTTGAGACCAGAGAGGGACAACGTTAAATTATCCATAAGGTGTCAGTGGGTTTTACAATCGTGTAAGTGGGACCGGAAACTAGGAAGGATATATAAGAGATGAAATTTTGAAACTTTGAGGACATCGTGTACCTGTCAAGAAAATAAAACTTGGATTTTGCCTGGAATCATTTTATTGTAACATTTGATGTACTAGATATCATTTTTATACCATATACCAATATACCATATACCATATACCAAATGATAAAACGGAAAGTACTAATAAAGTGCTTCGATTTTTATCACACAATCATAATGTTCCCAAGATATCCCGTAGTTGTCATTGGGAAGAAATATATATTCATCTGTTTCAGAATTTGCTTTTTAATGTCACTGAAATGTGCTACTTTCACATCTCTTCTCTTTCAGTGTGTTGTCGTATTTTGACAGTCAGATCAATTCGAAATGTTTTTTTTTTAAAGGCTGTAGAAATTCAAACAAATTTTTTACACATAAGAAGTATAAATGGACGGAGCCATCAGCAAAAGTCATCCGCACATTCGTGGTTTCAGTTAATAGATCTTGTGTTCACAAGAATACTACTAAAATTACTACAGAAGCAGCTATAGCCACCTACGTGATATCCGTGTCCAGGAAATCAGAGATGAAGAATATTTTTTAGTGTTTTGTATTCTGATCTCACGTAGGTGGATATAGCTGCCTGCGTGGTAATTAAGGTAGTATTATTGTGAACACAAGATCTTTTAACCAAAACCACAAATGTGGAAGTGTACTCCTATAACAAATTTTTTTCCAATATTTCGATGAAATTTATTATTATCTTCAAGAAAAATCTACAAAACTTGCATGATGATAGTACAATATTATAAAATGTTACAAAATGGCTCAACTAGCTGTTGGCGATGATGACCGTGTCAAACAGAATGTTACATTTGAACAATTGAAACATGTCAAAACAATAATCTCTATCTTGAAAGAGGTTAACACTTCACTGAAGCTAAAAAGATTATTTGAATCTTATATAAGAATGATATGATGTTCGTTAGTCTCGCTAAAACTCGAGACCGGCTGGATCGTTTTGGCAAATTTTGATTTTGAATTATTTGCGGAAGTCAAAGGAAGGTTTAATAGGTGAGTAAATATGAAGAACATGAAAATAATAATGAAAGAACTCAAGAAAGACTAGACGTATTTTTATGATTTTTGTGTTTTTGGATTTCTCTTCATCGGGAGTAGGATGATAAGTATTAGGATATATTTTATCAATAAAAATAATAATGATAATGAAGAACTCGAGAACGGCTGGACCAATATTAATGATTTTGAATTTGTCTTCATCGGGAATAGGATAATGAGTATTAAAAAAATAATATTCCATCAATTGAAATTGTTTTGACTTCACCTGTAAATTAGGTGTTATTAGAATTATCCAGTCTCGAAGAACCAAATTAAAATCCGAAGTTTTTCTTTGTCAAACTCTTATCTATTTTTTTAACAACGTCACAGCTAACTCATCAAAGATTTACAAAATAGAATTATATAGAATTTAATAATTCTAAACTAAATGAACGAAATGAACTCCAACATTGTCCCCTTCAGTAATTGTCCCATCAACAATTACTCATCTTTTCCGTTCTGGTCGTGTACTGGCAACACACATATTCTGGAGACGGTGTTCGGAAAAATATTTTTTGGCTGTCATAACGTCGGCAACACGTATTTTTCCTCTCTTTGCTGCATGAAGATGTACTATTTTCCTTTTGAGCCAACAGTTCCGAGGTGANGGACTACAAAACCAATTTTTATGATTTTCATGTTTTTGGATTTGTCTTCATGGAAAATAGGATAATACGTATTGAAAAATGATATTTTATCAATTGAAATAGCAATGAAAGAACTCGAGAACGGCTGGACCAATTTTTATGATTTCTGTATTTTTGGAATTGTCTTCATCGAGAATAGAATGATAGGTATTGAAATATGATATGTCATCATTGAAAATAATAATAATTATAATAATAAAAAAAGGGTAATGACCATAGAACTCAAGAACATCTGGTCTAAGTGTTACGGTTTTGTGTCTTTGGGGAATAGGATGATGAGTATTAAAATATGATATTTTATCAACAAAAATGATAATAATTGTTCAAAAATTCAAGAAGAGCTAGACCAATTTTTATGATTTTTGTATTTCTGGATTCGTCTGCATCGAAAATAGAATAATAATTATAAATAGGCTTCCAATCGGCACTGATATATCGAGTGGTACAATAAATCAATACACTACATTCTAACATTTCAGAGACTGAAATCACTCTCCGTCTACAGAATTGGATAAAATCTAATTCAACTTTGATATTTGTCGAGAACGTTTGAAAACGAAGGGACCAAAAAAAAGAAGCGTCATTAGATTACATCAATTGAAAGGGTATATTTTTAGGAGAGATTAACTTTTGGGAAAGAAACTTTTTCGCCTTCTACTTCTCCATCTTGATACAAAAAATGTGGTTAAGATAAGTATTCGTATAAATTTTCTGATAGGCAAGATTATTAAATACAAAAAGTTACTGATGAATGAAACATGTTTCTTCATGACAAATACTTTAAACTTATGCAGTAGGTACCTTATCTGCAAAGTTTGACCTTTCTACACCTATATGAAGTTCTTAATTTCAAGTTTAATTTTTTTTTCAGGCAGTAAACGGTGGAAATATCAAAAACGGTCGATGAACACTCAGATTTTTTTTCACAAAAATATCTTTTTCATTATTATGGACGAGTGAATAGATTAGTTTCAATTTCTTCTGCCGCTAATAGATAGTTTTATTTTTTCTCTTATATACATGTACGTACATATCTAACAATTTTCCTCAGAACAATGAAAATCATCATCAATATATCACTAAGCGACAAACTTAGTTGAAATCCTTTTTTTTTTATCATACGTGGTGAAGAAAAAATGAACATTACAGTGATTTCAAAAACTTGTGGTTCAGGTGAAGGAGATACTATTTCCTAGTATTTCAATTAACGTGATATCAATCATTAGATCCTTTTATCTTGCATATGTTTCAGTACTGTGAAAAAAGAATACGCAGCCTGAACAATCTGAAACAGAAAACATTCAATAAGTGTTCAATCAGTGAATACCACTCCTCAGAACATTTACCAAAAACCGCAAAAGTATCGATTGTTGAATAATTATGGAATACTATACATTTGTTACTGATGGATTTTTTTACTTGTCTTTCATTTCATCGAGGAGGACAACCGCCGAAAGCAAATCAAGAACATTTCTATTCAATTTTTATAATCATTACAAAACTTGAAATATTTCCATTTTTCGTGGAACGCAAAATGTCATTTTCATATGTAACAAATACTTAATTTATACAGGGTCTCATGGGTGTATATCAATACACATCAACATGTGTTTTTGACAATAATGACAATAATAAAGAATAAATGAGGAACGGAAACACAATGAAGTATTACTCAGTCAATAGCGGAAAGGAGAAAACAAGGAAAAAAGAACAATAATGGAAAACAAAGAGAAAACAGAAAAAAGAGGGGAAATAATAGGAAAAAAAGATATGAGTCCAAACAGAAAATATTGCTGGAACAACTTTGGACAACAAGAAATAACAAGAAAAAAATTTGAAGAACTACGAAGAAGAAGGAAATCAGAAAAGGGAACTTTTCAAAGACAATAAAAACAAGAAATAGAAAGGAAAAAGAGGATGGAAAACAGAAAAAACGGAAATGAAATTGAAAAGGAAACTGAGAGATGTTGCTAGAGCAACTATAACAACATCAGCATTCACTTCGATAAAATCGATAAAATCTCGATAATAGTAAACACCAAGGGTGTTTACTACACACTCACTTAGGGAAATTTGGGGCAAGTGAGTCATACGGGGCATATGCACACCATGCACAAGTGCATGGTGTGAATAGAAAACTTACTGAAAACTACCAGAAGTGAGGTGAATATAAATATTTTTTTATTACCACGTATTGCTATGTTATAATTGAGGTGAATTACTCAAGGATATTTCGTAATTTGAAGGCTTCATCTAGATATTTCATCACGAACGTAACAATGTACCGTTTCTGCTTTGATTTATTTTTGAAGATTTGATGTTACGTTGGGTCAAGTGAGTCATAGCTCAGTAGTCATGACTCACTTGCCTCACAGTAATATATATGAATAAGTAGTTAGTAAGTTATTTGTATTTTCAGCAGGTTGAACATGGTCCATAAATATACGTGTGTAAGACACAAAAAGGGTCATAATCAGAAGACGCTATGCAACGTGCCTTAGAAACTATTCAGAATAAAGAAATATCAAGATGGCTAGTGTGTTCCAAGAACTAGCATACACTCGTGGTTAAAGCGCCAGGAATAGCAGATAACAGCCGGTTCTGGGCCTCCTTCCACCACTTTGACGTATTATTTGTTTTTTTTGTTGTTGTTTAGTGAAGTCAAGGCGATGTGATCTTGAAGTATCGGGTGCATGGATCGTTCAGAATTTTTTTTTCATATGAGATTTTGTGTGTGTGTGTGTGAAATAATGACGTAATTACATTTGATTGGTGTGTGTGAGAATGCACGGTACAGGGTTTCATCATGTGCTTGTCTATGTACAAAACATACGTCTGCATACTTCGAAAATGTTCCATCGGTGTGAGCCCAACAAGTTAGTAGTGGTGTGACGTCACAGCAGCAACCGTTCAACGGTAAGAGAGCGAGATGTTCACTACACGACGTGTGGCTGACTAATGCGTAATCATCGGTGTGCCCTCACGTCTCTCGATGCGATGAAGGCTGCCCTCTACGAGAGCACAACGACCACTGCCTGTTCGTATCGACATTTGTTATCGCATCCAGCTGGGAGGTGGGGTTGCCGCATGTATCTGAGAGGTGGGGTTGGCTATGACGTCTTGACGGACCCGATCAGACTGTATTTAAGAAGCGGACGGGCATGGGCTGTAGCGCCAATAAGAAAAAAAGTAAGAGGAAACAAACGAAGAAAAATAAAATTGGAAAAGTTGCATTTGGTGCTAGGATAGTCCATAAATTGCGAAATGTATTGAAGAAAGCTGGTGGGGATCAATTTGTGACGAATAAAAGCAAAAAAGCTATCACTGTGGAATTGCAGGCGGCACGTGAATACCCCAAAGCTGCCGGTGGAAAGAAGAAAATCCGCACACCACGCATATATCCTGTTCCCAAGATCCGTGGACTTTTGCCATTTATACCAATTTTTGCTGGACTATCCGCACTAGAGAGTTTAGCGGGAGCCGCTGCTGGTATTAACAAAGCCGTGAATTCAGCAAAAGCTAGCAAAACGGCTTTAATAGAAGCCAATCGCCACAATAAAACCATGGAGGCTATAGAATTGGGCAAACGCGGAAGTGGAATATACCTCAAACCGTATCGTAAAGATTTAGGACTATATTTAAAACCATACAAAGCCACAAACAAAACAAAAAACGAATTGAACCCCTACCTCCGAGGCCTCTCACCGATCTCGATCTCAGTTATTATGCACAAAAAGTGAAAATTCCACATTTTCGTGTTGTTTTTATTAGTGACAGATTACCCTCTTCAGGTCCGAGACAAAACGAGACAGCTATTGTTGAATTAGATGGAATAAGTGGACCAGGAACACGTTGGGTGGCATATATAAAATGTGGGAAAGAAGTCGCATATTTCGAAAGTTTTGGAGATCTACCTCCACTATTGGAATTGACTCGATTCTTTCGAAAATGTTTGAATGTAAAAATCAAATATAAATATGATCGTCAACAGAAATTCAATACAGTTCTCTATGGTCACTCGTGCTTACAGTTTCTCTCTGAATAATTTTCCAAATAAAAATGGATACAACACCAAAAGTGGATCGAGAGGCTATCAAAGGAATGGGGTTTCCACTTGAATGTTTTCAAAATATAATACTCTGAAATAATGGATAAAGTGATGCTTGCAAATATGCCCAAGAAAGTGATACTTGCATGCGTTGCACATGAAATTGCATATGTTTGATAATGTTTATATTTCCATATAATTATCATCTAATATATGAATATTAATGAAACAAAAAAAATCACTATAATTACTATTATCATTCAATCATATTGAATTTGACTAGAGATCGCGTTTTCATGCCGGCAAAACTTTGTGGGCTATGACCTAAAGAAATTCAATATAAATGATTACTATTATTATTCAATCATATTGAATTTGACTACACATCGCGTTGAGTTGATACAAGTTATATCGTCACCACTGAATTGCAACGAAATACGTTTTGGTAGCCACGTTTTAAATAATTTATCATTGCTTACATCTTCCAAATTTAATAAAATTGATTTACCAATCCGTGTAAAATAAGTTGACATGTTTTTAATCATGTACACTTCATCAATTGGCAATGATGAAAAGGCCTTTTGCTCTAGTATTTCAACCTCCTGTACAATCAAATTATTGATGTTATTTAAGTCTACTTTTGAAACGGACATGATGAAAATATGTATGAGAATATAAACAATTTCCGACAGACAAATACACTCACCGTCTTCTTTCTATTACGAACTGAATAACACTCTACCAATTGCTAACTGCTGCAGATATATTCGTCTACTGATTTCATAGTGTGCCAGGCATTTCTTTTACATTAAACAGTGCGAGTCACCCCCTTCATGAAACCGTGAAAGGTTCACATTGCTAGTTGCTACCCACTAGAGATGCCTGACGTCATAGCCAAGCCCACCTCCCAGCTGGATGCGATAACAGATGTCGATACGAACAGGCAGTGGTCGTTGCGCTCTCGTAGAAGGCAGACGTTAACCCAGTCCTCGGCTGCCTGCGTGTCACCACGTGTCTAGCGAGGCTAGAATGATGCATTACGTCACAGCCTTCAGCGCATCGAGAGAGGTGAGGGCACACTGATGATTACGCATTACTCAGCCACACGTCGTGGAGTGAACATCTAGCTCCCTTATCGTTGAACGATAAGGGAGCTAGAACCAGCTGCTGTGACGTCACACCACTACTAACTTGGTGGGCTCACACCGATGGAACATTCATTACTTGAAGGATCTTCGAAGTATGCAGACGTATGTTTGTACATAGACAAGCACATGATGAAACCCTGTACCGTGCATTCTCACACACACACACACACACTCACCAATCAAATGTAATTACGTCATTATGTCACACACACACACACAAAATCTTAGATGAAAAAAAAATTCTGAACGATCCATGTACCAGCACTTCAAAGACACTGAACAATTTAAAAAAAAAGCAATCAATACGTCATAGTGGTGGGGGGAGGCCCAGAACCGGCTGTAATCTGCTACTTTGAGTTTTTTATTATTTCTCCATTTAGTTCATCATCTCATCTAATTGTGAAAGTTTTCAGGAAGCCAATAGGATCAAAGATTGGCATGAAATATAACTTTTCAATGTCAAAGTCCTTTTTTAAAAATTAATTTTATTAACAAAAATTGATGTTAATAGTATGAGAGCAAAATTATAACTGAATTACAAAAGTATTCTTCCCGTGAAGATAAGAATGCTTGCACATCAGTTTCCCAGAATCGCGAGATTCTGCTTCAGCATGGTCAGCGGTTCACATGGGAACGGGCGATATAATTCATGCCTATTTTTAGTACTTACCTTTTTGTTACCTTTTTGACAAGTACAATTTTGAGGTATTCGTGAGTCCCACTTTATTGAAAAGAAAAAATTCTTAATTTGGATTCCAAAATAGTCCTAAAATTCTCGCAATTGGTAACTGCAACTCCTTTTCTGGAATTTCGAAACTCTTCTGGTATGTACTTTAAAACATCTTTGGAATTGCTAGTACAGTTTCGTATGACGAAACTTCCTCGATAATGAACTTCGATCACATCCGATAATATTTTCTTCGCCCCTTCAATGGTATCTACACTATCGAGGTAGTCATTGACTACCTAGATACAGCTCTCTTTTACAGCTTTTGTGAATTCTACATCAAGTTCCGCAGCATTCCTTTTCATAACATATCAGGCCGATGTTGGAGATGATACTGCCCCAAAAATCATAGCCGCCATTTT